TGGTGGTTAAAGGCACTGGACTCCCACATGCCTGACCACAGTTCAAGTCCCGGATCTGGCAGCTTGCTTTCTCTCTTTCTCTCTCTCTCTCTCTTCCTCTGACTCTGTCCCTCTCTGGTCAAATTTAAATAAATAAATAAAGTTTTAAAAGAAAGAAAAGAATGGATATTAACTCTTTAGAATATTAAATGTAGCAAACATGAAGCGTTCCACTGAGTACTTTTCTGTACTTAGCATGGATTTGATTTTCCTGCAGATGACCTAACAACTTGTGTCCAGTTCTTTTAGGTAACACTAAACATTATTTTTAAAAGCCATGGTGGCAGGAGACCAGCAGTTAGTGTAATGGCTATGACGCTGGACTCCCATGTAGTCGACCACGGTTCAAGTCCCAGACCTGGCGGCTTAAACTCACTCCGGGCGTGTGTGCGTGCGTACCCAAGATCCTGAGAGGAGAATGGAGGAGAAGGGATTGCGGCGTGGCCATCCCCCCTGGGGGGTGATTTTTCGCTTTCTATTTCTCTGTCTCTGTCTTTCTGGCGAGCGCACGCACCCTATAGCAAAAACCTCTCCAAAAAAAAAAAAAAAGCCATGGTGGTGGGGCCAGCAGGTGGCTTGGTGGTTGAGGTACTGAACTCTCTTGTGGCCCACCACAGTTCAAGTCCTGGGCCTGGTGACTTGCTTTCCCCCTTTTCCTGTCTCTGTTTCTCTGTCTGTCTCTGGTGAGCACATGTACCCTGTAGCAAATTAAAAAATAATAATGATATTTTATTTTTTTAAATAATTCTTTAAAAATAAAAACTATAGTGGTAATAAAATGTATTTTACTACTTCTGTTCTCCTTCATTTATGTGTTGGAAAACGAGTAACTCAGCCTATGTGTTGCTGCTGTGTTCATGTTTAGTTCTTTTTTTTTAAAGATTTAGTTTTTATTTTATTTTATTTATTCATTCATTTATTTTTTAATTTGACCAGTGAGAAAGAGGGAAAGTGAGAAAGCAAGCTCCCAGGTCTAGGACTTGAACCATTGTCAGCCATGTGAGAGTATCCAGCACCTTAATCACCACACCCCCTGCTGGTCCCTATTCGTGTTTAGTTCTGACGAGTTCCTAAAGTACAGTTGGTATTTTGTGTCCCACATAGTTATTTTTTCATTTGTTTGTTTCTTAAAGAATTATTTATTTAATTCCATTTGTTGTTATTATTTTTTTAATTTGACCAGAGAGAGACAAAAAGGGAAAGGGAGAGAGCAAACCACCAGGTCTGGGATTTGAACTGCAGTCAGCCCTGTGGGAATCCAGCGCCTCTAACTACCATGCCACCTGCCAGCCGCAATGTCCCACGTACTTTGTATCATTGTACTCTGACAGAGAAAATCTTCAATGAATACATCTTGATTGAGCAAATGAGCAAGATGATTGAGCAAGATGAGCACAGGAACACAATAAAGAAATTATATTTCACTTGTTCTTCTGTAGAATGAGTTTGAATGCAACCTCCCTTTTTGCAGTAAACTGGAATTATAAAGGAAGGCCTCACCGGTTGGGATTGTCGCTCTTTTGTTCCAGATGCACTGGTAGCTATGGAAAAAGCCATGAAGAGGGACAAGATTATAGTCAACGACCGCCAGTTGGCTTGTGCTCGCATTGCTTCCGTAGAGGGTCAGGACTACCTGAAGGGAATGGCAGCAGCTGGGAACTATGCTTGGGTCAACCGCTCCTCCATGACCTTCTTAACCCGTCAGGTATGTTGACGTTGGTCCTTAAAACACGGTGTGGTAGTCAGGTCAGAGCCTGTGGGGTTTGGGTTTAGAGATCTTTTTGTTATAAATATCCAACATGTTAGGTGTTCAAGGTTTAGTGTTGCGTAATACTAAAGCAGCAGGGTAACAGCATGGGCATGAGAGCAAGAAAGGCCACCGCGGTTCCTGGACCTGGCCTTGAGATGCAGAGAGGACAGAAATGCTGTTGCAGAGGGGGGAGAAGCGGTTCTAAAGGGTGGGATCGAGATAGGCAGGCAGCTTTCCCACCAAAGTGGAGAGGGGAGGGAGTCTGTAAAACTCAAATCTTCATTTCCTAGAGAAACAGACTAGCTGAAATCACTAGGATGAGTTTTGAAGTACCAATTCTGGCTGCCTTTTTGTTTTTTTGGTTTTTTTTGTTTTGTTTTGTTTTGTTTTGTTTTGTTTTAATTTTATTGAGCTTCATGGTTTTTTTTTAATTCTACCAAAGAGGGACAGAATGAGAAAGAGAAAGAGAGGGAAAGTGAGAAAGCATGCCGCCAGGTCTAGGACTCAAACTGCAGTCAGCCAAGTGGGAGTCCAGCGCCTTTAACCACCACACCACCTGCCGACTCCAATTCTGGCTGCTTTTAACTCAAGCTTTTTCTCTTAGGCTTTTGCCAAAGTCTTCAACACCACCCCTGACGACTTGGACCTGCACGTGATCTATGACGTTTCTCACAATATTGCCAAAGTGGAGCAGCACGTGGTGGATGGGAAGGAGCGCACGCTGTTGGTGCACAGGAAGGGGTCCACCCGTGCCTTCCCACCTCACCATCCCCTCATTGCTGTGGACTACCAGGTACGTGGCCTGCACTCATGGTTATGAGCTGTGGGGGCGTGGTTGATAGTTTGGAGCATGGATGCATTTAAACAGGAAAATAGCCATTTTGAAAACATAATCTTGTTGCCCTTGAGATCTGGGATTCCCAATCTGCTCTAAATTAGTAACTCCTGTCGCGTCATCTGTGCATGTGTGCAGTGTTCAGTGTGCTGTGTAAAACGCACCCATGGAGATATTTTACTCTAATAAGCTGAGTTAAGGCCTTTGAATTATTAGAAGGCAGGATAAGACTGAACTCAGTCTACTTCAGTCCTCCTGTCAGCCTTCGGTGTCTTGCTGTGGTAGAGTTAGACCTTAGGATTCTTGTAGTAGCATTTCCCTAATACACTTTTGGACTTGGCTCTTACATTCACACTGTTTTTAGCATTTTCCTGGTCCTCACACTTTCACTCCCTTTTCCCTCCCACTCATTCACCAAAAGATCAAGATAGTATGTTCATGTAGTTGTAAAAGCAATGTTTGGAGGCCCAATTTTCTCTCTCAATCTTAAAATGTAAGTGAAGATTTAAATTTCAGGCATCAAAAGCCTATGCTTGTGGCCAGCAGGTGACATAATAGTTACATTGCTGGACTCCATGTAGTAAACTGCAGTTCAGATCCCAGACTCAGAGGCTTAAAACTCATGCCGGGCATGCATGCCCAAGATCCCGAGAGGAGAATGGAAGAGGGGGTTGCAGGATGGCCATCCCATGGGGGATAATTTCTCGCTTTCTGTCTCTCTCTGTCACTCCAGTGAGCACACACACCCTACAGCAAAAAAAAAAAATCTAAAATAAAAATAAATAAATAGAAACTTAGGCTTCTCTGAGTTTTAACCTGTTGGATATACATGCATCCTCAGCTCACCGGACAGCCAGTGCTCATTGGCGGCACCATGGGAACCTGCAGTTACGTTCTTACCGGCACTGAACAGGGTATGACCGAGACCTTTGGAACAACCTGCCACGGTGCGGTAAGGGAAATGGAAACTTCCTCAGAAGTGCTTTCTTCTGTGTAACCATTCTTGTGCATTTCAGCTGGTGATTAAATGACAAAAGGGAAGATTGGGTCTTTCATATCTGCTTGAAATTGTTCCCCACAATCTTAAACTATTTTGTGAACTGACTAAGGTCACCTAGTGTTCCTACCCTAGTAGGATCATTGTAGGGTCAGGGACTATTCCTCATCCCTGCAAATTCAGGAAATCCAGACTAAAGAAATCATCACGGAACCAGATGGCATAATGGTTATGTCGCTGGACTCCCGTGTAATTGACCATGGTTCGAGTCCTGGACCGAGTGGCTTAAAACTGAGTGCATATGCATGTGTGACTAAGATCCTGAGAGGAGAATGGAGGAAAGGGGATTGCAACTGCGGCATGCCCACCACGTGGGGGTGGTGATTTCTTACTTTCTGTCTCTCCATCCCTTTCTGTCTCCCCAGCGAGTACATGTGCCTTATAGCAAAAGTCTCTCTTAAAAGAAAAAAGAAGGGACCAGCAATTAGCGTAATGGCTATGTCGCTGGACTCCCATGTAGTCGATCGCGGTTCAAGTCCTGGACCCGGCGGCTTAAACTCATGCCAGGCGTGTGTGCGTGTGTGCCCAAGATCCTGAGAGGAGAATGGAGGAGAAGGGATTGCGGCGTGGCCATCCCCCCGGGGGGTGATTTCTCACTTTCTGTCTCTCTGGCGAGCGCACGCGCCCTATAGCAAAAACCTCTCCAAAAAAAAGAAAAGAAAAGAAAAAGAAATCCTCATACAGCTGAGATTATAGTAACTGGTTTTAAAGTAATATAATTTTTAACAGGCAAATTTACATCACAGCGTGTCTCTGCAGTTCACTGGACCTGCTCTTTTCCTTAATTTGCTCTTCCTATTAGATACGTTCACTTAAGACTTGAGGAGTATGCCTGTTTTGCAAACAGAACTCGTGTATATACTGCACACTATTTCAAAACATTCCCTCTCACCTTGGAACCCAGTAATTCATCTGTCCTATTTTAGTGCAGAGTCATAAGTACTATGTAAACAGGCACCACTATATCCAGTGAAACTTTATTTACAGAAACAGGTGATGGACCAGATTAGGCACAGGAAACGTCGTTTGTTGTGGTTGAGGGTGGGCGTGTGCTTCCAGCACCTGGCGGTGAAGGCAGGTGTCCTTCTAGACATCTTACAATGCTCGGGGCAGAGACTTGTCTGGTCCAGAATATCAGCAGTGCTAAGGTTGCGAACCATTCTGAATCACAAAGAGTGCAAGGATTTTGTGATAACAGATATAACTGTTTAGAGTTAAAATGTTTAGAAACACAAGACTAAATCTTTAAATATGAATGCTTTGGGTAGATAGAATTTATTTTTTGAGAGTTTTTTGTTTTTTGTTTTTGTTTTTGTTTTTTGCTATAGGGCAAGTGTGCTCACCAAACAGACAGAGAGAGACAGAGAGAAAGTGAGAAATCACTCCCCAGGGGGGATGACCACGCCGCAATCCCTTCTCCATTCTCCTCTCGGGATCTTGGGCACGCACGCACACACACACGCCCAGCGTGAGTTTAAGCCACTGGGTCCGGGACACGAACCACGGCCAACTCACATGGGAGTCCAGCGACATAGCCATTACGCTAACTGTTCATCCCATAGAAATTTATTTTCTAAAAGGATATGAGGCTTATAACAAAATGCACATAATAAGGTTGACAAAACAGAAAGTTTTTTTTTTCTTTTCTTTTTTCTTTTTTTTTACTTTTCTTTGGTTTAAAAAATAAATCCTTGGGACCAACAGATGACATCATGGTTATATCGCTGGACTCCCACATAGTCGGTTGCAGTTTGAGTCCCAGACTTGGCATCTTGAAACTCACACGAGGAGCATAGGCGTGCATTCTCCTCTCCTGAGAAGAGAACTGAGGAGAGGGGATTGTGGTGTGGCCATCCCTTCTAGGGGGGCCGTCCTTCTTCTGTCTTTCTGTCTCTCCGGCAAGCTCACACACCCATAGCAAAAGTAAAAATAAAAAATAATCCAGGAAGAGGCTACATGGTGACATAGCAGTAACACATCGATCCCACAGAGAAAGCTCTTGGGTTCACATCCCAACCTGGGAGTTCCCTGGGCGCTTTGGATACATGCCCGTGAACGAAGCTGGCTGAGGCTGGGGCTGGATCGTGGTACAAAGACCCTGTCGGGGGGTGGCCCACCCTCCCTCTCACTCAAGAAATAAATAGTTTTTAAAAATAAAAAGCATGTAATTACAAGGGTTTAAATGACTGCTGGAGTTAAACATAAATTAACGAGGAATTGCACAGTGAAGTTCAATCCTTCTCCTGTTCTAGGGCCGTGCTTTATCCCGTGCAAAATCTCGACGTAATTTAGATTTCCAGGATGTCTTGGACAAATTGGCAGATATGGGAATTGCAATCCGTGTTGCCTCACCAAAACTGGTTATGGAAGAGGTGAGTGAATTTTTTATAATATTTAAGCATAAAACCATTAGTGATTTATATCAGTGAATGAGGATAGCATTACTAACAGAAACTAGTTTTGTTTTAATGTCCTCGAATTTACTTTATCATTACCTTCTCTTGTTTGGAGATAAATTATAAGCCAGGTGTATAACAGTGATATTTACCATTCATGTAGTCCTTGTCTACATAACAAGCTTTTAAAAAATTTGAACTTTCCTACAAAGGTGTGTAATGATTATATGTGCGTAATAAAGTAAAGATTTAAAGATAATTTAAAAATTGAGCTTTCTCATCTTGACCTTGTTTTTGCTTGGTTTTATATTTATGTTTCAGTTTGAAAGCAAATTTGAAAAGGAAGTGAGAAGTATTTGGAGAAATAGTTCAACAAGACTTATTTGTTAATAACTGTTTAACATGTTTTAAAAGTTTGGAAACTAAAGAAAAAAACAAAAGCATCTAGAATTTGATAATTAGAGATAATCACTATTAACATATTTTTTGTTTTTTTTGTCTTCACTTGTGATTTTTTTTCATTCACTTACTCAGCTAATACTTAGTAAACATTTACTATGGTTAGTTACTGTTCAAGGGACCAGAGATAGGGATATTGCAGTAAACAGAACTGAAATTCCTTCCTCCGGGAACTTACCAAGTAGTTTTTGCTGCTTTGTTGGTGTTCATGGCAGGGTGAGGTGCTGTGAAGTAAAATGAAGCAGGGAAGGGCTAAGGAGAGGTGGAGGAGAGGTGGGTGCAGTTCCGCATACTGTTCAGGGAAGACGTGATGTTGAGTGGAGACCTGAGGAGGGTGGGTGAACAGGCCACAGAGCTGTCTGGAGCTAAGCTTTCCAGGCCGAGAGCAGTAAGTGTAAAAAACCCAAGATCCTGAGAGCAGAGTGGAGGAGACGGGATTGCCGCGTGACCGTCCCACCTAGGGGGTGATTTCTCAGAAGTTATGCGTGGAGTGTTCCAGACACAGCAAGGAGGGGCCAGGTGGTTTAGGAGCAAGCAAGGGGGAGATGAGTTAAGCAGGTAGGGGGCGCCAAAGTAGGTGGTTCCTCCCCCTCCCCCCCTTTATAAAGCATTTTGTTTTACTCTGAGTGAAATGGAAAGACATGGGAGGGTTTTGAGCAGAATAGTGACCCAGTGTGCCCAGTGTGTTTGCATGCTCATGAGAAGAATCTAGAAAAGAAATTGATGAAGCAGAACATTGAGGGGGTAGATGACTAGATTAGTGTCCTTGAGCAGATGACAGGAGATGTGATGTAGTATACAGGGGGTAGAGTTGTCTCTGCCAGGAGCACAGATATTCATTCATTCTTTTTCTTTCTTTCTTTCTTTTTCTTTTTTTTTTTTTTTAAGGTTTTTGCCATAGAGCACTCTCGCTGGAGAGACAGAGGGAAAGTGAGAAGTCACCCACAAGGAGGAGACCATGCTGCAGTCCTCTTGAGATTTTGGGCATGTGCGCGCACACACACACAGCATGATTTTTAAGCCACCAGTTCCGGAATTCGAACTGTGGTCAGACATGTTGGGAGTCCAGCAACTTAACCACTATGCCGCCTGCTGACCCCTCATCTTTTATTTTTATGAACTTAATAACTTTTTCTTATTGTGAAGGTAATACACGTGCATTTCAGAAAAACTTTTTTTTTTTTTCTTAAGAATTATTTACTTTATTCATTCATTTGTTTATTTTAATTTGACCAGAGAAGGACAGAGAAAGAGAGAGGAGAAAGTGAGAAAGCAAGCCACCAGGTCTGAGAATTGAACCACGGTCAGCCATGTGGGAGTCCAGCGCCCTTAACCACCATGCCACCTGCCGGCCCCACATTTCAGAAATTCTTGACAACTGCAGAAATATATAAAGAAAGAAAGTGAAGTAGGTCTACCAGAAATGATTACTACTAAATGATTACTACATGATAGTTCGGTGCATTTCCCCCTAGCAGATATTGGTGTGTATGTTTTATTTAATTAATTACATTTACATTTTTTCTAATTACATGAGTAATGCATGTCCTTTGGAGAAATTTAGAGAAATACAGAAAAAAACATCTTTTTTTTTTTCTTTTTTTTTTTAGAGGTTTTTCACTATAGGGCATGTGCGCTCGCCAGACAGATAGAGAGAGACAGAGAAACAGAAAGCGAGAAATCACCCCCCAGAGGGGATGACCACGCTGCAATCCCTTCTCCATTCTCCTCTCGGGATCTTGGGCATGCATGCACACGCACCCAGCGTGGGTTTTAAGCCACCGGGTCCGGGATACGAACTGCGGTCGACTACGTGGGAGTCCAGCGACATAGCCATTACGCTAACTGCTGGTTCCCAGAAAAAAAAAAGTCTTTATCTCAGACCCCTTACCAACGTCAAGCTTACTTCATTTTTCAATCTTTCCTAATTTGGTAGGCAAATAAAGACCCTCAATGTTGTTTTAATGTAGTTTCTTTAATTATGGGTGAAGGTCAGTGCTTTTAAAGAGTACATTTTTAGGGACTAGCAGATAGCAAGGTGGTTACATCACTGTACTTCCATATGACTGACCGCAGTTCGAGTCCTAGACCTGGTAGCTTGAAACTCGCTCCAGGTATGTGTGCATATGTGCCCAAGATCCGGGGAGGAGGGGCTGACAGGTGGCGTGATGGTTAAGGACTCGACTCCCACATGGTCAACCATGGTTTGAGTCCTGGACCTGGCAACTTTGCTTTCTCACTCTCCCCCCACCTGCCCCTCTGGTCAAATTAAAATCTAAATAAAGTAATTCTTTTAAAAAAAGAGAGATCAGGGAGGAGAAAGGATTGCAGCATGGCCATCGCCCCTGAGGGGTGATTTCTCACTTTCCCTCTCACTGTCTCTCTCCCCAGCAAGTGCACAGGCAAAACTCTCTCAAAAAAAAAATTTTTTTTTTTCCATTTTTGGAGCCAGGAGGTGCTGTGGTAGTTAAGACACTGAATTCCCACATGGTAAACTACAGTTCAAGTCCTGGACCAGCATCTTAAAAAGGTGCTTACATGCCCTAAATCCCGAGGAGAATGGAGAAGAAGGGATTGTGACGTGGTCATCCCCTTTGGGGGGTGACTTCTCACTTTCCCTCTTTGTGTCTCTCCAGCAAGCACATGTACCCTATTGCAAAAACATGTTAAATAATCATAAAGGTCCATTTTTAGTAGACTTTGACTGTTTTCTTCCTCTCCTACAGGCTCCTGAGTCCTATAAGAATGTGACGGATGTCGTGAATACCTGCCATGATGCTGGAATCAGCAAGAAAGCCATTAAACTGAGACCAATTGCTGTTATAAAAGGGTAGGACCTTAGCCACTTGGGCGCCGATCACCACTAAGCTCCCTGCAGTGGAAGTGGACTGAAACACTCTTCAGACATCAGACTTGGAGCTGACAGGTTCCAGAGAGCGCAGCTGCCACCGTGCCTGGTGACTGGCAGGGAGGCTGCTGCTTTCAGGAGCCAGCATAGTACAATACGGTCTCCCGGGAGAAGTTATATTGCCCCCTTTGGGATGGGATGAATATGCTTCCTCCTCATTTGTCCCACAGGTTTTTAGGGAAATCTTTTAAGGAGTAGGGAGAGGTCAAGAAATTGCCTTAGTCATATAATTCTTTGATCATCAGAATGGACTTCTTTATTCAAGCTGTGTTTATATACCAGCGAGTGTCGTGAAGAACATTCTATTAAATTAAGGTTTTGGAATGTTTCCTTCTTCGCTTCTCAGTTTTTCCATTCGTCCATCTACCCACCACTCTTCTGAGCAAAACCCTAAATACTTTTACTCGGAGGGTACCTAGGGGATTGTAAAGAGGGTACTAGATCAGTGGGGGTGGGGCGCACTGAGGAGGCAGTGCGTGGAGGTGTGGGAGTAGGGCCCGTCCTAGTCTATGTCATGCTGCTGGAATAGAAGACCTGCGTAATTTATAACATTCATTAGCTCCCAGTCCAGAGACTGGGAAGTCCAAGATCAAAGGGCCAGCAGCTAGCATCTGGGAAGGGCCTTCTTGCTGCATCATCGCGTGGCAGAAGGGCAGAGAGAGTGCAAGAGAGAACTTGCAGCCTCAAGCCCTTTTATAACCAGCATTAATCCATTTATGAGGGTGGAGCCTTCGTGACCTAAACACCTTTCTTCAAACCCCACCTCCCAGTTTGGGGAACACATGGCGTTTGGAAGATACAGGCAACCCATGGCAGGACCCAGAAGAGAAAAAGACCTTTTCACTAGCTCACTACCTTTCTTATTCTGAATATAAGGCAAGAGTTTGACTGGCCTGCAACATGGCCTCTGCTGCTGTCTTATTGATCAGGCCTGCCAAGGCTTTGTTGAATAATGGCCTTCTGGTGCGACAGAAAAGAACCCTCACCTAAGATCTACATTTTGTGATTGAGTCATTAAACAGCATTAAGTGGTCAAATCTACGACATTAGCATTTATTCTACATTGACAAAACAAGACTTGTGCCACTTAACAGATTTCAGAGTTAAGAACAGTGATACCTCAAAGATGTTGAAGGCCAAGACCATTGTCATGTATCGCTATAGCTGTGAATCCAAACAGCCAGTAAAATAGAAAATTCTAAGGAAATGGAAAGCTTTTTTGTCTTTAATATTTTATTAGGATAATTAACATTTGCACCTATTTTTTAAGAATTATTTTATTTAACTATTTATTTATGTTAATTTGACCAGAGAGGGACATAGCAAGAGAGAGAAAGTGAGAAAGCAAGCTGTCAGGTCCAGGAAAGTGAAAAACCAAGCCTCCAGGTCCAGGACTAGAACCACTGTTGGCCATGTGGAGTCTGGCGCCCTTAACCAGTACATCACCTGCCAGCCCTCCTAATTTTTTTTTTAAGTTTTTGTATGGGGCCCGTGCACTTGCTGGAGAGAGAGACAGTGAGAGGGAAAGTGAGAAATCACCCCCTAGAGAGGATGGCCATGCTGCAATCTATTCTGGGATTTTGAGCACACATGCACATGCGCCCAGCATGTTTTTGTTTTTTGGAGCGATTTTTGCTGTAGGGCACATGTGCTTACCAAAAAGCGAGACAGAAAGGGAGAAATCATCCCCCAGGAAGGATGGCCACACCACAATCTCTTCTCCATTCTCCCCTCAGGATCTTGGGCATACATGCACACATGTACCCGGTGCAAGTTTAAGCCATCGGGTCCAAGACTCGAACTGTGGTCAACTGCATGGGAGTCCAGCAACATAGCCATTGTGCCAAATGCTGATCCCACGCCCAGCATGATTTTTAAGCTGCCAGGTCTGGGACTGGAACTATGGTTGGCCATGTGGGAGTCCAGTGCCTTAACCACCAGACCCACCTGCTTGCCCAAATACCCAATGCACTTTAAACAGGTTGCTGTTTTTTTCCAGGTTGCCTTTAGAGAAACCCTAAAAATCTTATGTAAAATTAATTCCTCCACTTATAGTAAAAGCTGCCATTGGAGTATCTTTTAGATGCTGCTGCTTAGAAGACTGGACAGAAGTTAACTTTCTCTGAAAAATGTATGCTAGGAAATAGTAATAACATTTCTTTATTCTGAGTACTTTGTTTTTTCATTGGTGAAGTTTGAAAGTTACCAGTAAGTCAGAAATCCTAAAGTGGTAATTACAGGTTACTGATTCCTTCAGATGCCCAGCTGCTGTTGAACAGATGACTTAAGGATGCAAACTTGCCAGTGAATGCCAGAGAGCACTTAAAGATGAGAACAGGCTTCTGGCTAGGTGCTGGATTCTCCAGAGGTGAGGCACCGGTAGAGTCTGCAGACTCTAACTGGGCTTGCCTAATGACATGTCTTTGGAAACAAATTCAAAGCAAGGTCTCCTCCCAAAACTGGTTTCAATGCTGAAAATGCTGTAGGTCATTTTACATGCGTGAAGTTTTATTAGATGCTTTGAAAGTTATTCTTTGGTGGAGTGAGAAAGGAGCAGGTGAGAAGGGAAATGAGAGTAATGGTTTATGCCATTGAGTTTTCTGCTTTAATTGTTCTGTGTAGCTTGTGCTGATGCCCTACTTATGATCATAGAAAGTAATGGTTAATATTTTGAGTTCAAAACAAAAGTGACATTGTATTTCCTGTTCCAAAGATGGTTTTCCCCCATTTATAGGGAAACCATTTAAAAATAACTCGTCAGACTCAGCCATGGCAGTGCTTGGCAGGCTGAGACCACATGGGAGGCCCAGGTTAATTCTAGGTTCCCCGGAGAGCGAGGCGCAGTGGCACATGCCTATAGTCCCAGCTACTCAGGCTGAGGCAGGAGGATTGAGACAACAAACCTGTCTAAAAATCAGTCACCCAATGAAGCTGAAATAACTAAATTTTTTTACTGTCCTGAGTTGGCGGGGAAAAACAAAACCTGTGTGCATGCACGCCACTGGAAATGCCCTCTGAGTGCACTGTCTGGTTCTATGAATAGCAAAGACTTGATTTTTTATTTAATTTAACTTATTTTAATTTGACCAAAGGACACACAGAGAGAGAGTGAGAAAGCAAACCGCCATGTCCAGGACTTGAACCACAATCAGTCATATGGGAGTCCAGCCCTCTTACCACACCTGCCCGCCCTGAAGAGTTGATTCTTATTACTGTCTTTTTTTAAAGGTCTGTAGTCAGTTTATAACTGATATTCCCAAAGGAGGAAATAAAAAGTGGTAAAGGGGCCAGCAGGTGGCATAGTGGTTAAGACACTGGACTCCCGTGTAGCTGACTGCAATCTGAGTTCCTCGGCTGCTTGATATTCATGCATTTGTGGGTGTGTTTGTGTGCATGCCCAAAATCTTGAGAGGAGAATGGAGAAGGGATTGCGGCCATCCCCACTTTCTGTCTTTCTGGCAACTACAAGCACCCAATAACAAAAATCTCTCAAAGAAAGAAAAAGGACAAAAGGTGGCATTGGGCCAGCAGGTGGCGGGGTGGGAAAGCCCTGTCATCCACATGGCTGACTGCACAGATGGTGTGAAGCACCTTTGGTGCCTGTGAATGGGTCCATGAGGCTTCTCTAACCAGTCAGGATTTCAAACATGTATTATTCTACTTGTCTTCCTTGTTTGTTGGTTTGTTTGTTTTTTACATGGATATTGAGCTGGAGTAGGGCAACCACAAGTCTCAAGAAGACCTTCCAGGGGGCCTTAATATTGGCCTTCAAATAGGCTCTTACAGTTGCAAGTTACTGAGGCATTTGCACAGGGCGTCCCCTCAGAACAGGGAAGGGGAAAGAGGTGTTGCTTAAGAACAAGGTGGCTTAAACAAGCCAGACAAGAGGAAGGAGAAGGAATTACAGTGGCCATTCTCCCGGGAGGTGATTTCTCACTTTTTACCTCTCCGTCTTTCCAGCTAGCACACGCGCCCTACAGCAAAAACCTCTCCCAAAAAAAAAAAAAAAAAATGAAAAGTAATTAAATGGCAAAAATGCTTGTTTTATTTTTCTTCTTAGCCATTCTCATCACCAGAAATGCTGTTATTTATAGTTATCTGTTGGTTTTTCTTACTAGAATTAAGCTTTATGTAAGCAATCAGTAAATACCTCCTTACTGAGTAGACGGATGAAGATCAAATGAATGGCCGTAGAGCACAGGTTTTGCAATCAGACGTGGTTCCTGCCACCTCTCTGTAGTTACTGAACCTCTCTAAATCTCAGTTTCCTCATCTATAAAATGGAAGTGATGTATAATGCATACCCTGTAGG